CGAGCTTCTAGTTGTGGCATGTAAACAAAATAACGCGCACGTTGCCTTTATTGACAAAATACATGGGAAATGGAATTCCAGCGTGTTTTCGTTAGCTTCAGTCTCCAGTTCTGGCAAAAAAATAACGCGCAGCACCCCCCCCCCCCCCCCCTCCCCACCCCCCCGGGAGAACTCAGCCTGTCCCCCCCCCCCTGGGAAAATGGAAAGTCTACGCCGCTGTATTCACACACCTGTTGCTTTTGTTCCATGCAGTGCTATAGATATCTTTCTCGTTCCCTGCGCCCGTGCATAATGAACGCAGGTGCGAGCGAGCGAGCGCGACGTGTGCGATCGGAAGTTACCCTCGTATTTGCGAGAGACCTTAGCCACGCAGGAAAAATTGTGCTGTTTAGACAGCGAAAAGTTAGTCAGTCCCTCAGCCTCTCCTTAGCAAAGCTTGATGACGAAATCCTGGGAATCGCATCGTTGACAACGCCACCGATGCGATCCCCCAACTTCGTCATCAAGCTTTGCGAAAGGGAAGACGTTCGGTTTTATCCTTAAAATTACCCTGCGACAAAGAAGCTTTCGTGGCCAGTTGCGTAGCGTGCGAGTATACTTGGGCCATGCCAGGGCCAGTAAGCCCATGTAAAGTAAGATACATTCTTACCGAATATCGTTGTACGGCCTCTTTTATGTTTCACAGATTAGGTAGAGGATATGAGTGCTGATATTAAGCACACTGGCGAGGTGGGGCAAGCCGCCACCATATATAAAGGGTTAACCCATGTGCATCCAGCCATCCATCCATTCATCCATCCATTGCAAAGCCGTGTTCGGTCGATGAATCGCTAAGTGGCTTTACTCGTTCTTGTACTTGGGCCTTGACCCTGAGGCTTCTGAGGTTTCTGGGGGAAGGAAAAGAGGAAATCGAAGCCCCCCAGCAAGCGCCAGCTCAGTCATGCAAGGCTTCTTACAAATCCTTTTCTCTCCAGTGTCCAATTCCGCCTGTGAGAACACTGAGAACGCGACAAAAATGTCCATGCATTTTTGAACCTGTTCGTGTTGACCGCAGACGCAGTCAGCACAAACAGTTCATGCAGGGTTTTTAGTATTTCTGGCACAAACGAAAGGCTGCCATTAACAGTTGTAGTACGGTGGAATTAACTTAGTTATCCATGCCACTGGCTCAGACAGTATGAACTCCTGTTCTTTATCATCCAAAATAAGTATGATGCAAACAAAAGAAAGTCCGTTGTCGTGTTTCCGCCTTCCGCGTCGTGCAGTGAGCGAAAGGCTGGCTTCACTGCCTCACGCGGAGTGCAGCAAAGACTTACGATATCCTTGCTCTCGAAAGGGCCTTGGTTCAACGTGCACTCGTGCGGCCAGAGCACCGACCAGCTACCCCCTTCTTTCTCTAACCTTTCCTTCTAAGTTCTACTCCACCTTATAACGAGATGGAGTAGGTGCCGACTAAATGCCCTTAAAGTCTAGGCAAACGCGTATGCGTCTATTCGGCTTGACGTATGTGCTAGTGTACTGCAGTCTCCCAACTGAAGCGAGGACACATTTGCCAATCAAACCTAAAAAGTCTAGCAGAAAGTATCAGCTCAACAGCACAGCCAAAGACTTGACAGACTTCCAGCAAAATTGCCAGTCGACCTGAAACTTTTAACCGAATTGAAATCTAAAACTGAAGGGGAGCGTCCAACCGAATTGAAAATTAAGCGGAATGGAAAAATTTAGCTAAATCGAGAAAATGCTTCCATAACTGCAAAGTAATACCCCATTCACACGGGCGGTATAAAGATACCTTTAGCATAGGTCCCCCTAGTAAAGGGAGATGGAGTTCGTAATCACACGGCGCGCAAAGGTCCCTTTCGCTAAAGGTGGGTTTAGAATAAACGGAGCTCGCAGACCTCCCTTTAAAGCCACAGGGATTAGCCTCGGACCCATGAATTCCACATAAAAATCTAGCAGATATGCTTCTGCTTCGTTTACTGCATTGATAATCACAATAATATTTGCGAGGCAAAGATTACAAAGGAAACGTGAGCACAAACCTGGTGGAAGAGGGTAGCGACAAATTTATACTCGTGACAGCGGGTATCAGCGGTGGCCTGAACGCAATGGCGGCCGTACGAGCTTTGAGTAGTGAGTACACTTTACTTTGAGTAGCGACGACGAGTTGTCCGCTTCGCCTGCCCAGAGCATTTTTGTGACCAAGATTTCGCCTGGAGGACCTGTGAAGTTGGGTGCCAGCACTAGCGGCACTAGTAGGAAAAGCCCTCGAGTTCACTGGTCCGAGGCTGAAACATGGTCGCTAATTCGTCTCTGGGAGGACAACATCGGCGAACTCCGGCAACGAAGGAGAAACACCGGAATGTACGAGACGACCCGCCACGGTCTCGAGAGGCTCTTTGTTGAGAAGACCCAGAGGCAGACTCAAAGAAGTAGCAGAGCAAGCTCGGGAAAACACGGAGAGTTGTCGATCACCTTTTACACCTTGTGTACCTCGACTGCGTACCTCCTTTGTATTTGGATTGGATAACACGGCGGGCAATTTGGCCACACCAGTGAGACATTCTAAAGAGAAGCCTATTTTTTACTCGCCCCATGCAATGAAATCAATAAAGCAATTATAATTTTGCTTTAAAACGACTAATTTCACTTTTAATAGAGTAAAGAACGTGTCTCAAACCTGCTTGAACCAAAAGTTGTATATTGCTCGTTCGTCCCTCGGTTCAACCGGGCGATCTCCGGTGCAGTAAACATCAACCCTAAACCCTCCGTTCATTTGCCGTGTGATCCCGAACGCCTTTTGATACAAGTACCTTTACCTAAGGGACCTAAGCTACAGATCCTTTAGGCAGCCCTTGTGAATGGGGTATAAGCCTAATTGAGAAGTTCGGTCGCAATTAAGACTATCGCCAGACTGTAGGTTAAGCCAAATAGAACGTCGAATTGAGCTTGAGCCGAAGGGAGACTCGATCCAAATAGACCGGTTGCGAGACGTGCAGCGCCTTTGCGGCATCGAAAGGATTGGGGTTTTTATAGGGAGCTACTGTATAGACATTTTCCACAGGGGCGCCGCCATCTTGAATTGTCGTCACTTCCAGTATGGGCGACGACAAAATAGTAAAACATTTTAACCTGTAACCAGTAAAAAAATAGAGGGGAGCCAAAACAAGAATGTGTGACGGTTAGACATATATCCCAAATGTCTTCTATTGGCGTGGCGACGGCAAAGTAATGTTTTCGCCCATACTGGAAGTGACGACAATTCAAGATGGCGGCGCCCTTGTGGAAAAGGTCTATAGAACCAGCTATAGCAAACAAAGAAGACAGAAGACATTGAGGACGGCGGGGGAAACGCGGGCGAGGCGGGACAGGAGAACAACCCTTAGATGGCGTAGTCAGCGAATTTCACGCGTTGCCTACTGACGGCCAGCAATGGTCACAAATTGCACACGAAACGGATGTCGATAGGACCCCGTCTAAATCCATCTTGATGATTGTACAAGTATAATTAAGGACAAACATACATATCTGTACTCGTCACTTCCTTTTGTTTAGCCTTCATTATATTAGTATCTATATCAACACGCCCGTCCAACTCTCATGATTCTACACTAAGCTGTTGCCTTTTAAGTATTCATGTATGTGTTCCAAAATAATGTGTTTAAAAGCATTTTGTTGTTAAAGATATACGGTGTTAATTTTGGAGATTCGTTTTGTTTCTGGATATATGAGCAGACACAATTTCCCTAGATAGCCAATCTGCCGGTAGCCCGTTGTGCCGGATCGAAGCCTCAAATATTAAAAATGGGTACCGATACGCCCACCTTATGTGACTTCACTCTAAAATGCGTTCAGAATATCGTGCAGATACTTTTTTCTTAAGATTCTAGAGCAAATTGAAGAGATGGTCTCTGACAAAACGTACATACGTGACACAACAGTGGCACTGGCAGAGCCTAGCGGCAGAGCCTAGCGGCAGGTCACGTGACACACTAAAAACAGACTGGAAGTATCTCTTTTTCTAATTCGTCGGGGATTTTAAAGGGAAAAGACACAACTTTATTATTTGTAATAGTAATAATAATATTTATCCACGGCACCGCGAAAAGGCTATAGTAGTCCATACCACGAAGGCCTGCGGCGTCGCTTCTGTGATGCGAGATGTGTACAGATGACAGATATGTTCTGACGATGTTTAATAAAGCTTTGGGTGAGGGTGAGGGGACGATGTCGCGGGTGATGGCGGCCCAGTGTTGCTTAATAGCTGCTCGTCGGGCCGGTCCTCCATCCAGCTGGTCTCCAAATCTGTTGGCGTGTGCCATGAAGTACGCTGGCTGAACCCAGGGAAGTGTCCGGGGATAACCTCGAGGTTGGTGTTTGAAGGTTTCGTCGTGCGGCCCTGAAAATCCCGCTCCAGTCGGTTCCGTAGGCCTGCTTCTCTCGGCCAGGGGGTGCGAGCGCGTCCGTAAGATGAGACCATGTAGTGCTTGCATCAAGCATAAAGCGGCACTGCAGCGTTCGATTATGAACGAGTCACGGTCTTTTACTAGCGTCTGTCAGCATCTGCCTAGGCGCGGTAGCGGAGTTTCTGGAGAACTAGAAAAAGTTTTAATAAAAGAAAAATGGAACTCGCACTTTCAGTGTCCCATCAAAACGATAAAAATTGTTTTCGTGTAGTTTTTATGTTTAATTTAACAAACGTGTATCATCCAATGAAATTCTGCCAACTTAGCGTCCGTGAGCAACATGAAAAAGAATAATGACACACAACTGAAAGGCGAGCGCTAAATCTTCCATTTTGCTCGCCAGAGGCGCTGGTCAAACTTGAGAGCTACAGGCGGACCCTTCGTGAAGGGCCCGCCGCGTCGGCTGTATGCCTCACTGGCGGCTACCACTGCAGAGTGCAGCATGACCCTTCCAGCTTAAGGATAATATTAGGAACCCAGGACATTGAGGAGCGGATGGAAGAGGATGACGTATTTTCATCCTCTCTGGCGCAGCGCTTCTGCTCCTGTGCGTGGCGTCCATTCGAGGCGCCTTCCTGCCCAGCAAGCTTCCGGGCTTCAGGTGCGACGACCCGGACATCCGGCACCCGTTCCGTGGAGACACGGTGACCCTCGGCCAGATCCTGCTCCTGGTCGTCGTCGTCCCGGGCCCGTTGGTGAGCGGACAACGGCGCGTGTGCTCCTGCCTCGTTTTAAAGACGATAGCTACCCTTTTCTGGCCCTACTCTGCATAAAACGCGCACCCCTACCATTCTTCAGCAAGGTCAACACCACTTAGAAAAGAAGGCCTGCGCGAGATGTCATCGCGTTCGCCTTGGCGTCGCTACTACTAGAGTTACGCCCATTGTGAGAGGAGGAAAGGGGGGAGGGAGATGGGGGTATCTTTGAGTTGACCCTGGCACTATCAAGAACGAAGTGGAAGCTCCTTTCACCTCTTTCCACTTTAGCAGAGCGAACGCTGCAGAGGACATCGCCTCCTCTCCGGTGTTCGCTCTGCTAACTTGGAAGGAGGGGGGAGGAGCTTCCACTTAGTTCTTGACCCGCAGGTTTTTCGGTGTTTGCTAGATCAAATATACGTACTATTTATGAGAAATAGTCGTTTACGACATTGTCCAAAAGATTTTCAAGCCAAGAAAGGAATAATGATTCGCGAAAGAAATAGAAAATATAAGGAAACTGGTTGTTCTACCTCGTAGATGGAGTCAGCGTGTTCTCTTGTCGTAAGGGTGCACACGGGCGTAAGTAGTCGCCTTTCGAAAAGTGGGAGAGGAAAGGCCTCGAAGGGTCATGTCGACTATCACTACGAGACGCGTTGCGGCAAACCAAAATACCATGGCGAGTCGTCGTCTGTTCCGGACTGGGAAGCAGCTGCGAGAACTGAGCAATCCGTTGCACACGTGATCACAGCATTTCACCTTGTCTTGTTTCCTTCTCTCTTTCACTTGCATACCGAAAAGTGCTCGCTCTACATTAGTGGATGTATATGAGGGCACTCTTGGATGAATAGAATAAATGGCGGCTGTTCCCTTTGCGTCGGGCGGTGACTTGCGCCACGTGCCAGACAGTGGTTTTTCGGCTACAGGTAAAAAAATCTAGAGCCAAAAATGTACTCTATATCCGTCCCTTGATTTCAGCCACCATTCCTCTTTTACTGAGCGCTACGTTTTCAAAACATTTTTGTTTCGCCGGTTTCACCGAATCTCAGGGCCCTGAGGAAGTCAGCCTCTTCCCGTGATGTCCTTCGGTAGTCGGGCCCTTTAAATTCTAAAATGGCATACGTTTTGAATTCGTTTCAGTTTTCTCCCCCCTATAATACAGGTTGTATCCATCCCTTGGTATTCTACGTCCTTGTTCTCAGAACACCTCTCAAACAAAAGTGCACTTCTTCTGTACTCGTTTTCGCCTCAAGAACCGTTGTAATAAAACATCCGACTCCTCGCAGATCATTACTATTTTCCCCCTTTATGGAAAGAAGTAAGACACAAGTAGGTGCATTTTAAATTAGCTATGTGTGATCTTGCCAAGATGCACACGTTTTAAACGGCAAAAGCGTTGATTTTTCCCCAGACAGCCCAATATTATAGGAACTACTTCCTCGCAGCGTATGAACAGCGCGTAAAGCGCGATCCAAACCAAAGCGCTTTTGTGCGCGCGTAGGCCGTGCGGCTCCCGGAAATTGCGTATGTCGTGACGTCGCGCTAATTCCGTGCGCCTTCCGGGCGCGCGTAAGAAAGTTGGATGGGGGATGATTTCAACTTTTCCTGAAGGCGCACAAAAACGCCCTGTGACATAGTAGGGCGCTCCTCTCCCGGCCAATCGGTGGAGTGTACTAGTTCCGGCTCCGCGTTTCTTCGCCGTCTGGCGCAGTTGCGCTCCGCTCGCCCGAAGCCACACCTTCCTAACCAACGCGCATGGCTGTGACTCAGAAAGCGCACCGGAAACAGCAAAAACGTCGCGAAATACGCAATTTCCGGAAAAGCGCGCGCACAAGAAGGCGTTGGTTTGGATGGCGCTTAAAGCTTACGTTTTTCTTCAGTATAGAGTTTTAAGTATAGAATTATGAAACATTGCCTCCTTCTTAATACCCTCGCCTTCGCTCGCAGCTCGCCCTGGTGGAGTGGTGGGCGAACCCCTGCGGACCTCTCGACTGGGGCGTAGTCGGGTCGGCGTTCCGTCACTACGTTATCGGCCTGGAGCTGGTCTCTGTTTCCGTCGAGGTGGTCAAGACCCTGGTGACCCAGCCGAGGCCGCACTTCCTGGACTCTTGCAGGCCAGACTGGGACAGGCTCGACTGTTCGCGGGGGTATACACGAACTCATCTCTGTTACGGGACGGCGCGGTGGTGGCGCCTCGGGCGCACTTCCGGTCTGGGGCTGTGGGGGGAAGTCCCCATGTGATACGTGTATTCCTGCGTTGTTTTTGATAGGAATCTAGAAAAAAAACTGCCTTCTCGTCAAGACGCCGCGACTGGGGCTGTACCAAAAGAGCCGAGAAAGATTTGGAGATCAGTTTTCATGTGTTCGGTTCGACGGAGAATGTGCTTATGTGCCGTCAAAATGGAAAACCAGACGCCGTCGGACCACGATTGCTTGGGCGGGAAGCACTTTGGGTTGAATTCAAATACTTGTGGTCATCGGATTTTTTTTTTTTTTTTTTGTTCCAACATGGACGCCGGAAAACCGTCAAGTTGTACAGACCACCTGCGGACTACGTTCAATGCGTCTTCAAGTTTGAACGGCCGCCTGGTCGTTCGAACTGTCGTCTGCTCTTTCAAACGCTTCTGCTTGTCGTCTGCTCTTTTCGACGACACCGGCCCGTAGACCAAATGTTGGCCCGGTACTTGCGATAAGAAGTAAGTGCAGGTCTCAAAAGACTTAAGTTTGAACGTTGGTAAGCAGGCTCGATGTGAACAAGGAGACTTTGATCATTGTTACCAGTGGCCATCACCGACTTGTTATGCCTGATTCACTTGGTTAGATTCTGCTTCCGATCTTCAGTATCGACGTCGACCATCTCAGCTACCGTTCACGCTTTTTTAGCCCGATCGACGTCGCGACCGACAGTTGCAAACGAAATCTCATCATGCGAATCGGGCTTTAGCGTACATACTGCGGCGTCCACGCGGAATGAAGCGCCACATGTCACATTATTCACGCAAAGTTTTGCGGTGTAACGAGCCTAGGTAATTTCGCTGACGCCGTTCAAGTAATCAGACATCGCCAGGAAGACGTAAAATTAACAATTCGAGCGCGAAAAAGGGCAGAGGGACTCACACCAAGGCCGACAACATCGCTTTTCAATGGTTTGTTTATGGGCGACGGCGAGCTTCTTGCCCACACTCTATCGCGCATGCGCGGCGCTGGTGGCGTCCGCTAGGAGTGCTCCGGTTTGTTTGCAAACATGAGTTGGTGTCTACGCCTCACCCTACTGCCGCTAATCGCTGCATCTCTTGAAATAGATCCCTTACAGAAGTGCGCGCCATCTATAGTCGGTTACAAGTCAAGAAGGTAGGAGAAGCTCCTCCCACAAGTTTGATGCGCCCGTTTCAAATCTCTCCGCAGTCGAAAAAAGAGTTGTCTGGAAACGCTCCTTGTTCCGCTTCAATGGATTCCCACTTGTCTCCGATCCCACTTTTTAAGAAAGCGACCTTTGTATTCATCGGAGAGGGAACCGAGCCCCTGAAAGCAGCCTTTGTATCCATCGGGGGGGAAGCTAATCCCCGAAAGTCGTATTTGTTTCCGTCGGTGGGAGAGAACTCTAATCTCCCTCTCGTGGCTTCCACAATGCTAAGTCAAAGTCGAAAGATAAAGCAAATATGTACAGAAAGGCAAGACCCTCCTCGCGCGTTGGCCGCGACGTCACGGAAACAGTGGGACGCTATTGGATGCGGAGGTGGCGGAGGGATATCTGATTCCCTTTGAGGGGCATTTGCCGCTACCTTCTTAACCTGCAACTGACTATAGTGGCCGTTGTTATCCGAATCCGCCATGTTTTGGGTACCTACTCTGAACATGTATTGGACACGAGGGCTGCGTTGGCACTCGGCGAGAACTCGTACCCAATCACAAGCCTCGTGCCCAACAAATGGCGACCGTCAATGTTGCTTGATGAACTTTTGAAAAGAATATATCGCTCATCGTTCCTGTCAAATTTGAAGAGTACGAGCGCGTTGTGAATATGACTGCAAACCACTCGAAAGAATAAAAATAACGCGAGCTTGATTATGCTCAAAAATACCAGGGAGGTCAGAATGTGTCCCGCACAGACAACACACACTTCTTAACCTCCTTTATCTAAATTTGTTCTCTTTTTTTTTTTTGCAAAGTTTAGCGGAGAAATTAAACTATTCTATTGGTCGTTTCCCCCCGCTGAAATTAAAAGGACATCTGATTGATGCTTAGGTGAGGTGACATCAAGTCACGACATAAATTTCCCCATTAAATTTAGCGGGGAAAGTAGATTACGCCCCCAGCGTGTCGCGCCTTTATGACGCTCATTCGTGACAATTTTTTTTATATAAGACAACCCATAAAACACACTCTGAGTTAAAATGGAGGATGGAGACATACAGCCTCCAGGAGTGCGGTTGCCTGCCTTCGTCGCCCGTGTTTTGAATTCTTTCGAACTGCTTTTGGATCCTTTCAATATGCGCAAGAAAGTAGATGCTATAGTTTAGACTGAAAAAAAAAGGAATAGCATATCCCCTTTCCCTCACTGTCGTGGCACTGTCATCACTGGTCACACAGAATGTAATGCAGCGTCGAGATGGATACGATCGCAGTGCCGCCGTTTCTGCCACAGCAACAACTCCGGCCCCATAACTAGGGTGGCTAAAGGGGGAGGTATGCTCATTGACTGCATCGATTCAATCCAGTCATCCAGGATGGAAGTAGATGGCCAAGTCACCGAATCTGACCAAAAACGTACGCCAAGAGCCAAGCGCTGCCGTATATGTTGAAACCGAGGACGTGGTGGAATCGATAGCGATCATCAGTGCTCGGTTGCATACTGTTGCCGACCGATTTTCTCCCATTGCGTTTTATCTCATTTCCTATCACGGTTTGCGGCTACGAGAATAAATTCTAAAATTCAGCAGTTCGACTGAGCAACAACCTTGTATACATGGTGCTGTCCTCAAAATTGTATGATGCCTTCGCAGAATCTTGCGGTATCTCGGCTAATAACATGGAGGTAAGCCACCCCCCCTCCCCCGCCCCCCGGACTAAAACGGCTTTCAAAATAAATCTCGCACTCTACTGATTGTAGTGATGTGGAATTCATCTGAGCACGTGGACACCGCATATAGCGGTGTGAACGAAGAAGATAATAAAGTAGTAGTGAATGGGAATGACTTCCTAGTATTCACCCTACCCGCCGCGGTGAGACATACTCCTAATGAAGACGTTTGCAATTCTACATTGGTGACGGGGACGCTACAGACTGTCTCCCCCGCAATTCTGAACGGTCATTCCCCAGCGAGATTACATCGCACGCGGCACGCCGCTGCAGAACATAAAACATCGGCTTCACAGTTAAGCCTATAATCACTCCATCTACAATGACGTTGAATCCGACTGCTTTATCTATCTACGACTTGGACGCCACCGATGCAACTAACATCAGCTTCGAATAGCGAAAGTGGGTAGCACGATTAGAAAACTTGTTCGTTGCTTTTAACGTCCAAGACGACGCGCGCAAACGCGCCCTATAGACCAACACGCGGCCCTGACGTCACGCAGCTGCGGTTGCGCTTTCGACGGCACTGCGCATGCGCAGACGCTTCGCTTCTCGCGAATTCGGTTTCTGCGCACGCGCAGTGCCCACACCTGGTGTGGGCAAACGCGGGTTTGTTTGTAAACAGCGTGTCGGTCTATACGGGAGAACGAGTTCATGAACTCTCCGAGACTGACCTATAGCGAATAACCCGACATCCAGCCGGACGCCATCACCTGACCCCTTAACTGCAACAACATCAGCATCTACGACCGTGGGCACATGCCAAATGTTCAAAGACAAGCTCGACTACCGCTTCAGTCAACGCATGAGTACCACGTTCGAAATATTTCGATTTTGTCAGGCAAAAGAAAATGGCGGTAGAAACCACTCTTGTTGGTTATCTATGAATTGCGATAACATTCGTCGTGATACTCACAACGCAGCTCACTGTGAATATGACAAAACTTTTGAGCAAACAATTTATTTTATTTAATCTATTTTCCCTCCAAATTTAGCGGGAAAACTAAAGTGCTGCGTAGGTCGCGACGTCAATTCTTCCGCTAAATTTTGCAGGGAAACTGATTTGGTGCATAGGGCATGGGACGTCAATTTTTCCGCTAAATTTAGTGGGAAACCTGAATTTTTCTGTAGATCCCGTGACGTCAAGTCACGTGACATCAATTTTTCTACCAAAAATTTAGCGGGGAAACTGAATCGGTGCATAGGTCGTGACGTCAATTATTTTGCCAAATTTAGCGGGAAAAATTTGTCCATACGTCACATGACGTAAATGTTTCCGATAAATTTTGCGGGAAACCTTAATTGGTGCACAGGTCACGTGACGAAAATTTTTCGCTAAATTTAGCGGGAGACCTGAATCGATACATAGATCACGTGACGTCGTTTTTCCGATAAATTTAGCGCGAAGTGAATTTGTCTTAGGTTCCTGGGCGTCAGGTCACGTGACATCAATTTTCCAGCCAAATTTAGCGGGAAAACTGAAAAAAGGAGGCCAGAAAGGTCCACAACATTGGGGGTGCAGCTAAAGAATGCTGTCGCATTAAGAAACTTGAGAAAGAGTCTGAGCCAATTTCTTGTTCATAACTGTGAATTCACCATTGCTGACATTGAAATGAAAAACCAACTAATATTTTCCACAACATCATCACACGTACTTGAGCTTTGAGACGGTACCTCAATTTACCATCGCTCCTGTAGCAAGCTCAGCTCCTCGAAGATTTCGAACAAACAACGACAGCCTTGGAGAAATCGTCCAACGCGACTATCCATGCTATACATAGTTTGTGAGTGTCGCCATTGCTGGGTACTGACGGGTATTTCTACTTACGATAATCCAATTAATGGAAAAATTCAAGCGAGCTGGACAGGAATGACGATAATAATCCCTGGAGAAGGGCAGAAAGGGGGCAAAGGAAAAACGCAAATTTCCAAACACAGCTATAAGTGGCTGGTGCGCGACCAAAAAACTACGCCTGGCCCTGGTCTCGAACCAGGGACCTTTTTAGTGGAGCGCTCTACCAACTGAGCTAACCAAAAGTTAGACGTCAGTAGAGCAAACGTGTTTTATCAGCTGCCACCAGTCTAACACTGACAAGGGTGAACGGCCTGCATATTAAAGCTATTATCATAAATTAACGCAAAGGTGCGAGTGAGCTGGACAAGAACCAATGGTAATACCGTAAAATAGCGCAGGAGCGCCCACCCAACTTTCACTGAAAACTGGGATAATCTAGACATTCGCGCTTGTCCGGTCAAATCAGGCGCGTAACGTACGATTTGCAGAATTCCCAAGTTTGGGAAATGTTAGTGAGCGCTTGAACAAAGTTGGCGCTTCCGCGGTATTTGACGGTAATCCCTGGAGAAGGGATACAAGAGGAACATAGGACAAACACAAATCTTTAAACACAGCTAGGTGACTGGTGAGCGACCGAAAAATTCCGCCTGGTCCTGGTATCGAACCAGGGACGTCTCCATTTCCAGTTCAGCGCTCTACCAACTGAGCTAACCAGGAGTTTGACGTCAGCAGAGCAAACGGGTTTTATCAGCTGCCACCAGTCTGACAGCAATAAGGGTGAACGGCCTGCATTTTAAGGTTATGATAATGCAATTAATGCAAACGTGCAAGCGAGCTTGACAAGAAGGATGCTAATCCCCGGAGAAGGAGAACATGGGGTCCAGAGACAAAGGACAAACCAGGATCCTCTCCACTGGAAATGGAGAGGTCCCTGGTTCGAAACCAGGACCAGGCGACTTTTTTCGGTTGCGCGCCAGTCACCTAGCTGAGTTTCGAGATTTATGTTTGTCCCTTGTCCCCTTGTTCCCCCTCGTGTCGAATTCGGGCATCGACGTATAAGCGGTGTGATCTCCGCGCGCGTGCCGCTCTCGTCCGCCGCCGAGCTCTTCGGTCACGACCGTATCTTTTTTTAACCAGTCATGGACGCTTTGACAGAGGATTGAGAATAGATCGACGGAAACGGCAGACGGATCTTGCAATAAGTTTTGTCTAAGGCGGCGCCAACCAATCGACTTCGTACAGGCTGGTGACGCAGTACGAGTGCACCAATAAGGAGTCCCGGATCCTGCTGGACATGCACAAATCCTTCCCATCGGGCCACGCGGCACTCGGCTTCTACCTCTTCACCTTCGTGGCGGTGAGACGTTACTTCCGTTTCTCCGGGGCAACTGTTTAGTGTGCATACGGTTGAAACATCTTAAAGCCCCGTAAATTCCGCGCACGCTTTCCTTGACTATGCGTCTCGTATTCTATAGATAAATTGGGTTTCGGAGTGAACTTTACATCCTACTCTTTTTAGCGAATGCAGTCAACGCCTACATTTAGATGTGGGAATTCCATATTTTGCCTAGTAGTCCTTCCAAGCGGTGTGTCAAAAGCAGACTTGTACGGGATACAAAAAAAAAAAAAAAAATTTAAGTTAGTGAGTACAATGCAAAAAGTAAATGAGTAGAGTACTAAATACTCGACCCTGAAAAGTAGCTGATAACTAAATCCCCACAAAAACCACTCATTACTTTCAAAGTGCCCTCAAGTTACCATTTGTTCTGCAATGCACAAGTCAACTGAGCGGCAAAGGAAAAAACAAAACAAAAAAAAAAACATGAATATACTCCATTATGAAAAATTAAGTCTGGAAACATATCTTTAAGAAAAAAAGGGACAAGCACACACACCGTCTCAAAACGCAGCTACAATACTCGTTGTCGCATCAAGACAAAATACATTTTTGGGCATTATTTCGCTGCGAGACGCAGGTCTTTCAAGATATTGTTGTTTTGAAGGAAAAAACGATGCTTTTAGGTTTGAAACGTGTACATTTTGATAAAGTGACATAAAGCTGACCTAAGATGCACTTATTGTGCATACATTTTAATTCAACTTAAAGGGGGAATTAGTAACGTTCCGCGCTAGGAGGGCTTTTTCTACTATTGTTCTTGGGGTGACAGTGTGTAGTAACTGCGTCTTGAGACGGTGTGTGTGCTTCTCCGTTTTTTCATCTGTTCCTCCTTCAGTCTCGTTTCCTTTCTTTTTTCAATGTGGAGGTTGTTAGTTAGCCTGCCTTTTTTCCCCCGATTTCATAATAAACAGATTTCCTTCATCAATGAAAGAGACAAGGTTTCCCCTCACCTTCCCCTATCCTCCCAAATCCCCTCACGGGAGAAAAAACAAAAACAAAAAAACTCCAGGTCTTTGTCAACTTTTTGCAGATCTTTGCAGCAGTCGTTCCCCGCTATACGATAATGTTCTGCTAACCCCGGGGCTTCGTTCGTATTCCCTCGTGCTTCGAAAGCTATACAGGATGTTCTCGAGCACTATTTGGGCGTAAAAGAAAAATATCGTATAAATAACCCAATGGACAGAGTGCCATGAAAATTTTTAACAAATGTCTTTAGGTGGCGAATTTATTATACTTCGATTTCACGAGTCTATATGTTTCTTGATAAAAGAAAATGCACGCCTAAAAAAACTCTTCTCATTCCAATGTGCAGAGAGCAAAAAGAAATTAAACCGTATATGGCTGACGTTGTTACCGAGAAAGGGTACCATACACGCACGGACCTGCTGGATCTGCTGGATCTGCATTCGGCTGTTCACCTCTAAGAAAACTTGCAGGTTTTTGCTTCATGTGTCATCTGTAACGGGTAACAAACCAGACGGTTGGTTATCGTTTTCCTCCCTAAACCAGGGCCCGTTCCAGGTAGTTGACGGCGTTTACCCCCATGTATGCGCGGGCTTTTGTGGGCCGCTTCTCTTCCCATTGTACATTGCCTCGAATCGCTCGTGGCTTTTGAGCGAGAGAACGGTTACCCTTGATACTTCCGCATCTGGTCTGGACCGCTAGCGCTACATTTGGGCGGACACTGAAGCCTGATTCACATGGGGCGATTTTACTTACAATTTCTCTGTTGCAACGTCGCTCGTGCTCTCTATCTCACACACTATTTGTTTGCATTTTTAGCCGAATACTTTTTGTTATTGAATAATATTCAACCCCCCATTTCGAAGGAAGGGGAAGTGCCCGGGGCTGAAAATAAAGAACTGGAACAAATGGAACAAATGTGATCGTGGCTATATTTGGGTGTGAATATTTCCACTCGCTCGCTTTATTTTATCTACGGGATCTCTAGCAGAATAGTCCATTCAAATAGGAAAATACAACGTTAATGTAACGACAAGATAAGGGGAACTTTGGAACCCCTGGAAGGCTTGTAACGTGAACTCGTTCCTAGATAGAGAAGGAGCAAGTTTTTGTCCCTGTTTGGGAGGAACGTGTGGACGACTGCTTGAGTTGTTCCCTCGCGCAGATCTACTCGCGGTTCCGGCTGTCCTCGACGTCGTCTCACCGGTCCCGGGTGTGGAACGGCGTCCTGTCGGCGTGCCTCCTGCTGCTGGCCTGCCTGAACGCGGCGTCTCGCGTCTACGACCGGAGGCACCACGCCGTGGACGTGCTCGTCGGATCCCTCTTCGGCCTGCTGGGCGGAGTGGCCGCGGTGAGCCCCCTGGTTCCACGCGACGCTTTCCTTTCCCTGCCTGCCTGCGCGCGCGTGTGTGTGTGTGTGTGCACTTGTGCGCGTGTATATGTCTGTTTGCGTGTGTGCGCGAGAACGCGTGTGTATGTACTCCTGTGCGCGTGTATGTGTGTTTGGGTGGGTGTGTGCAGTGGTGTCGGAACGAGGGGGGAGGGCGGGGGGGGGGGGGGGGGGGGTGATCGCTCTTGCAGACATTTTTTTAGCAATGGCGGCCCGCGAGATCGACTATTTGCAAATTTCTCAAAGTGCCGATTTCCCAGGTTCCGAGTGACATGCTAAATATTCATCATCATGGAATGAATTATTTGAGGCCCGAATTATTTGCGGGTATTTTAAAATCAAGAAATTCGCGGAAATTAGGTCCTCGCGACAATAGACACTTTTCCAAATTTTTGGCCTGAAAATGAGGGCTTTTTGGCCGCAAGTAGCGCGTCAGCGACGTCCTGTTGACTCATTGAGTTGCAGTGGCCTCGATATTGGCGTCCCAAAAGTCGCTTTTTCCCATTGTGGATTACCTTTCACTCAGAGGTCACCAGAAAGAATGATGGGAAAAACAGATGTATTTACTGTCGAAGCCATACTCGAAAAAACGTGGATTAGGTCGTTTTGTAAAAAAAGTTAGTCAATCAACCTATTTTTTTTAAGTAATGTTCGACATACTCCCCCCCCCCCCCCCCCCCCCCCGAAAAGTGTGTACCTATGCATGAGTGTACGTTTGAATATATGGATGTGTGTGGTGTGTGTGTTTGCGTGTATGAGTGTGCTCACGTGTGTGCGTGAGTTTAAGTGTGAATATATATGTACGTGAGTGTGTGCGCATGTGTGTGCGCTTGTACACGTGTGTTTGCGCGAATATGTATCTGCGCGTGAGTATACGTCTATGTGCATGTGTACGTGAGTGTGTGCGCGTGTTTGAGTGGACGTGTATCTGTGTGGTGTCTGTGTGTATGCGTGTAGATGTGCGTGAGTGAATTTGTGCGTGCGTATGTTCGTGTGCGTGTCTGTTTGACTGTGTATGTCTGCGTGTGTGTGTGAATGTGGGTGCGTGCGTGCTTTCGTGCGCGTGCGCCCGAGCTGTAAAGCAACTAGTTAAACGTATTTGAAACGACACTGAACCCCCAAACCAGAAAACTTACCCGGCCCCGACACTGGAAGGACGGACGGATTGTGAGCTCTTTCTTGATTCGATGGATGATAGTGCATGGCCGTTCTTGGTTGATGGAGTGACTTGCCCGGCTAATACCAATAACGAGCGATTTTTTTTTCTATGTGCCTGGATAGGACGGATATATGTCACGGAATAAACTTTACCCCCAAAAAAATAGAAAAAAAAAAAAGCGAGAAAAACAATTTGCCGCAACGTTCCGTTGCGAGATACACTTTGAGTAAGGAGCGATTCCGCAACATACCTCAATTTTCAGACGTCGACTCGGAATTGAAGCATGCTTTGAAATCGCTTCAAATCTGAATAAGTATCGCAGCGTAAATATTGCGCGTTCTTTTCTTTCTCTTTTGTAAAATTTATTTTGTTGCATTGTGACATAGATATCCACTATCGAGGCATCTGTAAACAAAATTGTGGATTCCAATGTTCCTGAAATTTAAGTTTCTCTAATTAGTTACATTTTAAATATCTAAATTCTTCCCAAGTTACAAGGAACCAAACTAAGTGCAGAGAGTGTTGGAAATGTGGACTTGACACATAATGAATAAAACAAACTCAAGCTGGAAGATATGTTCGTCGCCCCTTGTACCGCGTTTTTTTTTTACTCTTTCTACATCAAGTTGGAATTAAGCTTAAGCAGCTGTAACCTGGCTTGATATGTAACTTAGAAATGCATTTACGGCACTATCATTACTTCTAGTCTCGATTAAACTAAAAGTAAAAGACAAAAGACCACAAAACAAATTAAATAACTCTAGCTCTATTACATTCGTAACTATACAGGGTGTTGTATTTTAATTTGTACAGATATATTTAACCGAAGCCGTTAAAGTTAGAATAATGCGGTCTATGCAGGAGAGTTTTACAACCAGGCGAATAATTAACTAACATTTTATAATTGACTTTTTTTTTATTATTGAAAATAAGCATGGGGTTCTAATTCGAAACTTTCTTAGCGTCATCTCAAACCACTACATCAGTCAACCTAAGAAAGACTTGGAGCATGTGGCAAGCGCGAAAGCGCTGAAGTTTCAACTCGTGCAACAAGCGCGATTTTATTCATTTTTAATTCAAACGAAGCTCTCTACATCACTAAAAGAATGAGAAGGGCAGGGCGTGTCTTTTGACCAGCCGGCCTCCAGCCAGCGTTCCGCGTCTTCGACCGTGCTTTTGGTTGCACACTCGATGAGAGGCCGAAGCCTTGTCCAAAGTAGGAAGCTCTCGCTGGACCCGGGACAACCGAAGCTCTTTCCTTTTTACCCTGTCGCAAACATATTTGGCTGAGTCACTTTAAGCTCGATTGAACATGCAAAGCGAAAGCGACTCAATAAATACCGGCCTAAATTCCCGTAGTTACTGCTGTGTATGAACGGTAAACCGGCTCAAACCAGCACAAAAGCCTTCAGCATTCCATCAAACGCTTTTGAAAAAAAAAAAAAAAAAAGAGCAACTAAAAAGGAGTTTTTATTTTCTAAACTCTTCGTGTAGATGCAGAAAACACCCGATTGTTCGCTTGGTTGAAAAAATAAATAAAAAAGTAAGAGTTCAGTTCGGACTATTTTTTTTTTTTAATACAACAAAATCGATATTTTTTTACTAACGACCGATCATAAAATGGTGGCAATATTTTTACCAGTTTCTTATCCCTCGACCAGTTGTTCGTAACCTTGATCATTATTATTTTTTTTGTAAATATAAATTGCGACGAAATTGTTGCAATTTATTTCGTCAAATTTTCTGTTCTTTCTTTATGCACCCTTCCTGAGGCCTGCCAGCTGTTCGGGGGCAGAATTGTCTTCAAATGATTGATTGATGGATGCCCTCCCCCCCTTCCCCAACCAGCACCACGAAAACACGGCTACAGATGAGGAATCAAATATAAAGTCTCTAGATTCGGAATCCTAGAATTCCTGTTCCAAAATGGCCAAAATCAAATTCCTGCGGGATTGATTTCGACAACGCGTTATGTTACTTATCTAGGATTTTGTGTCTTTGGATAAATCCGAAAAACTCCGAAAAACACTCGCCGGTAACATTTTTGTCAATTCGAACTTATATTTAAAAAAAAGACTGAATTTTGAGGTTACGATGGCAAGATGTTACGATGGCAGAAAATAAGGTGTTTTGTGAATAAAGTGAATAAATAAATAAAAAAAACATCGTTATCTTTTTTTTTTTTTAATTAATGGCAAAAGAGAGTTTTCCGTTTATCTCGTCAAGGTTCATTCAGTGCAACGGGTCAATGTACTTTCGGTAGACGACAAAAGCACTGTTGCGGTTTCCAGTCCAGACCATATTATTGTGCTTTTTAAATAGAGAAGCGAATGTGTTCTTATAACAATGAAAGATATGAACCTCCTGTATGCGTTTTGTAGGAGGTGGGTGAGCGGTTGAAACGTTTAAGCTTCCCAACGACTACGTCCAGGAGTTTGGTCATTTCAAAGTACCGACGTCCATTGAAGCAACACTTGTTTGCAAGATCTGTCATGGGGCAGTTAATACTGCCAATTGCAAGGGTGTCAATGCCAAATGGAGCTGCTGAAATAGATTTCGATACCGGTTAATTTTTTATATATATATTTAGGGCAAGTTTTTGTCCGAACATTTATTTTTACATTTAATTTTGATTAACTAACTCACGGTAAAATTAATGACTTGAAACGCAAAATAATAAAACACACAGGGATTGACACACACACTGTGAAAGTCTGTAGGTCCGTCCCTATGTGTTTCATTCATTCGTGTTTCAAGTCATCTGTGCCAACCTGCTCTGTGTTCATCATCGGTAAAATTAAACTCCGAATTTCGTATAATTTCGCACGCAAGAAAAATAAACTCAAATAAACACCGATTTTCGAGCGAAAAATAAACTTCGAAAGACACTATTCTAATCTCACGAAAAATAAACTCGGAAAATACAGAACCCTACGTCTTGTCTCTGTTGACTGCAGGCGATATGTGCTCTCAGAACCAGCATCTTTGTCGCGTCGTCAAACTGCGCCTCCCATGGCGTCATTAAAAAGACAAAAGAGGGGCGACCGAGCTCGTTCGCTCCAAAAGTCCTTTGTTAGATGAGATTGGTGGGGGGACAGGCAGTTAGGTAACCCCCCAGTAATCTCGTTCCCGCTGTCATCGTCTCGGCCAACGGACATTTGGGGCGAATTCGATCATCAGCGCCCTCTCCCGGTTACTTCCCGCACTTTCATTGGGGGGCCGCGCGCGTTTCATTCCGAGTAACGGTTTGGGCGCCGCACTCTTCTTTTGTACCCTCGGAAACGACCAAAAATTTATTTTCGCGAAGAAAGAGAAAATGTGGGGTTGAAGATTACTTTCGTCGCGTAACAAATGAACACTCGTACACGGACGAAAAAACAAAAATAAGGGGAAACTGCAAAGGCAGAGTTTGCGAGGACGGTTCTGGGAGGGAAGTCAGTTGTCCGGCGGCCGTATATCATACCGGGGGGTCCTTCCTAACTGGGGAGGCGCGGTTCTTGCTTTTATTGATTTCGAATCGAGAGAAAACACACTTGGTTCACTTTGGAGGCCAGTTCTGGACGGCGGCCGTCGGATTCTGCGTTGTCGCGGGTTCAGGCATTCGCTCAGTCTTTCTCATTGGCATCTCTCTCCGTCTTTGGACAGTCGGGTGGAGAATTTGTATTGTTGTAAACACGAAATGGCTGTTTTGGTTGGGTCACTGACGTCACTTACGTGCAGGTCACCGGGCCATCTGCGCCTCGTGTTAAGCGGGGCCACAAGTTCAAGGAAATACCCCGACACGCGACATACACGACAGCAA